CGTTCGTACCGCTCCTCGGCCAAACCCCCTCTGCCGAAGGCGATCGTCCGCGCATCGGACAAAAGTTGAACTCCCGCCTGTGCGTAGGCGGAATCCCCGGCGGAATCTCCGCCGGCGCGGAACTTCACCCGCCTGTGCGTAGGCGCTCGCCTGAGCGTAGGCGAATTCCGTCCGCGCTGCTGCGCTAGCGAGGAAGGCGTTGACCGCGGTCAACAGACTCCGTCCATACTGTCCGTTTCTTGTCTCTCCGTCGGCGCTCTCGCCGCCGCAACTCCGTCCGTCTTAAGGCGTATCCATCCGTACGGTCCGTACGGTCCGTACGGAGTTTACTACTCCGGTGGTTACTCGCCCGTCCGCGCTGTTGCGCTGGCGCGGAATGCGCCGTACAATTTCTACCCCCGAAGGCGCATTTCTAGGGCCGAAGGTGGATTTCCCGCCGACGCCGAGCGCCTGTGCACAGGCGAACTTCGCTCGTCCGCCTGGGCAGAGGTTTCCTTGCCTGTGCGTAGGCGACATTCGCGCCTACGTCAAAACCCTATTTCGCCTACGCGTAGGCGAACTGCCTTCGTCCGCGCATAGGACAAAACTTTCCTCGCCTGTGCGTAGGCGGAAAGCTGAGTATCTTGCAACCTTCATAACTCCCGGAGTCCTCATCCGTTTGTGGCGTTCTTGGGCTCGTTGGAATCAGCGCGTCAAGTTCTTTCCAACAAGACCCTAACCAAGTCAAGGCGTTTGGGGATTGACCCAATTCTGAAGGATTCCTCTAGCGCCGAAGGCAGATTTTGCGCCTTGCGCCGAAGGAGTCATACCTTCAGAGCCCGCAGGGAGGGTGGTGTCTGTCTCTCATTGCACCCTACTCCTGGATTCTACGAGTTCCCTCGAGAATCTCTGCGATCTGCCGATTTCACTCTGTTTTGATGTACCGAAGGTTATTTATACTGATGCCGCGGTACAGTTTTCCAAAAATGTTTTAATTTTCTCAAAAATACCAAAAGTGGGGTACCACAGAGGAACGAAGTTTATGTTCAGCTTGAATGAAAATAGGCTTTCATTGCAAACTTTATAAGGATTCCAGACTACATACCGTTCGCTTCCAGCTGGCTGGAATGGGTGTATGAGTTCACAAGCTTTGAACTATGAACTGGCTATTCGATATTTTCGTTAACACAAGATACATAAAAATAGCATCTGAAAACTAAATTTTTTGTTTCTCGTTTTTACCCCATATTGAGATGTCCAACACAGTCCCCTAAACTCTCATAATATATTCTTGTGTCGAATCATAAGGATACTAATTGAGGATTCTAAAATGCTATCATGGTCATAAACTTTCTAATTAATATTCTGCATGCACAATCCGAACTTTCACATTCATTGTCAGTCGCAAGTTGAAAGACTATTATTTACTTCTGGTCTTGTTTTAGAAATATAGAGGCTTTTCACTGTTAATTTGCTTTTGAGAAATACAATTCAATATACATATGCTCGATTGTATTTAGAGTTGATTTTTAAAAATTAAAACATTTAAACGTATAAATCACCTTGCATATCAGCATTCGATGAGGTTGTGGCATAGAAGATTGGAACATCTTTTTCAATCTACAATCAGGCTCTTGGAAAGGATGGTGTGAAGTTATACAAAGAATCCGTTATTCTTGTGCTATGGATAAGTAGATCAAGATAGTTATTGGAACTCATCCAATGAGACATTTTTTATCCAATTACCTACAAAAGCATAAGAGGTGCAGAGTGATGACTTATTTTCAATAGTGACAAAAGTCGAATTTTCTTGCAGAAATACAAAGATGAGGTATTCGATAGATTGAAAGCCTTCGTAAATTTGATAGAGACTTAGAGAGGTAAGAAGAAAACAAAACCTAGGTTAGATGAAGGCACAAAAATACTTAAATCACAGCTTTGAAGACTGCTCACTACATAAAAAAATATAAATTGTACTTCAGAAAACAAAACCTAGGATAGATGGAGGCACAAAATACTTAAATCACAACTTTGAAGACTGCTCAATACGGACACAAATATATAAATTGTACTTCAGCGTTTAAGAATATCCCAACAAAGGAAGCATGGACTGGCTATAAATCTGAACAGCTGTAAATTCAGATTTCTTACATATCAAAGGAGCAGAAGAAGGTTAGAAATGGAAGCTTCAACCCGACTATTACAGTATAACAATTGCCATTTGTTTCCAATTGTAAGATTTCTGAATGAAATTTCGTAGGTTCAAAATTGGAATGGTAGGTATACTGAGCAGGAAACCCGCCGTGGAAGGGGTAAGATTCATCTTCAATGGCTTTGAAGAAGGATTGAAAACGTATATTTTCTTAAACCAGAAAACCGACAAAATTATTTGAAGTAGAGTTGGACTAATCGTTTATAAAAATAATTTGGAAACGACAAACGGTCAAGCATGTAAAGTTCTGTTACAACTGCTACACCTATACGAGTATATGTTATACTCCTAAATCCGAGCATTGGAGGAGATTTAGAGATATCATCATCTAAATCACATGTTACTAGAATTAAGTGAAATTCTTATAAGTCCCGGTTCATGTATCATAGTATATCTTTAGATGAAGCTTTTTTGAGATGTATCATAGTGTAACGTCACAAAATACTTCTTCCGGTTAGAATGGTCCAAACTACTAATTCATTCAAGTAGGTGCTTGCTTGTTGTTTTTATAAAGTCGGGGTAAGCATCTGAACCAAAGCTTGGTGAGCAACGTTTAGAGGAACAAGCGCGATCGATTCGATGAGTTGAATTACGAAGAAGCAGAACTCACTACGGATTTCGTCGCTTTCTTGCAGTCGAACAAGATTTACGTCTGACCATGGCCAGCTTATAAAATCAAGTCAAGGAGCAAGATTCATCAATATGTGGCTCAGATCAATAAAACTCGACTGTATGCAGCACCCTCTATCACATGTGAATATTTGGCACATGTCAAGAATTCCCGTTCACTCAATCAATTAGTAGACCCAGCATCAAAGATGGAATTATAATGTCATAACCGAATGCGGGGACTTCGAATCTAGATATATCTTCTGGTGTTGATATTCCACATCCCAAGCCACTTTCCATGAGTGCTCGAAGATAAAAAGTCTGCAGAACGCTATATGTTGTTTTATTTTGATTTCTCCAAAAGCACCTTAAATTACCATCTTTTGAGACACGAGTGCAGGTCGAGAACTCAGGGTAGCCAGGAGTAGCACAGAGCCGACGAGTCGTCTCCATTTGGATGGAAACGTGGAGTCAGGTGGTGTTGCCCTGTCGATCAAGTGGCCGCGACAGATAGGGCACCAGTAGAGCACAGACCTGCAACGCCATCGGGCACTCTCGCTGAACATCTAGTGCACTTTAAATCCATGTTTGGGAAACTGACCGTTCGGAGTCGCTGGCAAAGGCTCACTTTGACTACGTAACACTTCAGAATGGGCACCCACTTCCGGCCTTGGACGGTTTGCAACCGTTTAGGATTCTCTTTCTCCTGAGAATCTTGTTTACGAGGTAGTTTGCTGGATAGTTGGCACTCATACGTCGCTACGATTTGATTTGTCTGATACTCAAGTATTATATTTTCAAAATGTCACCATTTATTGCATTATTCATTACCACATCAACATTGAATAAAACAGTTTTTCCATTTCTTGAAATAATTCTTTCTTGTTTGCATATCATTTTCTTATTATATTTTGGATTAAATCAAATTTTCTTTTGTATGTTCATAGTATTTTTCAGAGTTCACAATACTCATGTGAAACTCATTCAAAAGAATTAGATTAAAGCCAGAAAATAAATAAATTATTATCTCTACTTTTACAAAAAAATGCAAGCAAAAAGAAAACACGTATTTCAAGAATATAATTTGTTGTTTCACTGAGTAATCGTTTTTTATACTGATTAGATAGTGTAAAAACTTTTTAAGACAATATTGATGCCATGGTGACTAATGCAATCAATTGTGAGATTTTGAAAGTTAAATACTTGAAGTAGAGTCAAATCACTTAAAATTTGCGGTTTATGAGTTAGTTTTACAAATTTTCATTTTTTTCATCTTTATGATGTACAAAATCAGTAATATGTAATATAAATTCTATGTGACAACAAATTTTGATTTTTAATTTTATTATCACTCTTGCCATGAATTTTACTGTGCTTTCAGGCAATGAAAGCAAAGTAATTTAATAGTACTTTTACTAGAAAATACCCAAAAAAAATTCTTCTAGAAGATGCAAGTGTCTAATGAAAGAAAAAAATATTAGAAAAGAAGAAAAAGCTATAGAATTAAATTAAATAGTCAACTAACAGAAGATGATAAAATAAAATAAGAAAGTTAGGTAAAATTTTTGATATACTTTTCAGTACCTTTTATTCCGCAGAGATTTACATAATGACTAAAAGGTAGAAATGCAAATGAGAGTGACAGAATGACTGGAAGGACTCCTTATACTGGAAGGTAACAAAACCGAAACCACAAGATTGGACTTGATAACCAAAATGGCTGGAAATAACTACTGAATCCATGACCGGGCCAAATTTCGCTTTAAACAGGTCTTTTGAGTACTCTGTCATACAGCGAAATAATTAAAACATGGAGAGACTAGGGAAGTTTTTGATTAGCACTCTCATTGTGAGGACCTCAATTCTCATGCACATGCCTCTCGGCTCCAAGAAATATACTTATAAGAGGATATTACACATGCATTTGATGAGGCAGAAATCTGCTACATTTCCTTAGATACTCTTCTTGAAAATCCAGAGTGATGATTGTATTTGATCAGCGTAGATTAACTTCTGGAGTCTCCTGTAGGGGAAAGCTGCGAAGAAAACGCCAGTTACTGGTCTTTTCGCTGATTCCACGATTCCACGATTCCACCGATGCTGATAGACCTCCCACAAAGAATATTCGCATGTCTTTGGTGCAAATGTAATTTAAATTCTGTATTAGAAGATGAATTCTAGAACACAATTATGAAGTACGTTTTTCATACTTTATTTGAGATCATAATAGAAATCGTTATGGAGATGTTGAAGTTCCGCTCTGATTTAAAATTCGAAAGTGAATGATTATACACAAGGAAAGTCATGTCCTCCTACAGAGAACAGCTTCTCTGCATGTGAAACGATCCGGTGATGTCGGTGGGAGACACATGGAAAGCTGGTTTCACAAATGGTGTCCAGCCGTAGAAGAGACACTTGCGGGTAAGAGTCTTATTCTTCCGAGCTATATTTTAAGTAGATTTGTTTCTGGAGACTGAGCGGTTTTTGGAAACGTGTTCACGGAAACTCTCTTCGGATGTTTCTCCGTATTATGTGCTGACATGTCTCTTTGTTTCGCATTTTCATTTTGTGCTATTATTACTTTTCTTTCAGATACAATCGTAGAGATTGCGTAAACGATCCGTTCTGTGAAATGATGATAACTTTCGGTTTGTCCACGCAGGTATTCAGTCGGACACCACAAATGTGAGTGATGAAATTTGTCAAAGTCTTCTTGAGCAAGCGACGAAACAGGGTTATGATACAAGGTGTCTCGTGAAAACCTCGCAAGCTGAAGGAGTCGACTCTGAAAATACGCCCGAAAGCTCTACAGATAGGAAAGGCTTCTGGTGGTTAAAGGCAGCCTTAGGAAAATGACGAAATTATTGAATACGAGTGATTCTAGGAGAATAAGAGTATATAACCTAGGGTGGATCGTGTGATTCATCGCTTCGTATAGGTTTCGCCGCTTTGTGATTTAAGAAGGTAATAAGTCTTGGTGCCGGGTGTTTTCCAAGTACCTCTGAATCATGGAAAATTCTACTGGGATTAGAAGAGATAATTTTCACTACCTTTTCACACATAAAGGATTATACATGTAATAATGCCTAGAAATATAGATACCAGCTTATCTTCTTGTGACAGTGTGGCTCTTTCAACAGTATGAATGTGACAGTATTATCACAAGATATTAGACTTTATTTTCGTGAGTTACTTGCTCTATCCATGAGAACTCCCCTGTTGTATTTAAAAGGATACGCCGCCTGAAGGCATTCTGATTATGCGTCAACTTATTCCACTCCACGATTGCATCATACTGTAGTACAAATAGTCATATTCTCTCTCCCCAGAACTGAGCAAGTATACAAAATGCAATGATTCTAATTGCAATAAGTCCTCCGGACATCATGATTCAGAAGGGTTTGAATTAATTTAAGGACGTGGAAAGGAATTTATCGTCGAGAAGTGAGAAGTAGACATGAAAATATTACAGAGAAGCCCATATTAAAGAGTATCAGTCCCTTCTACAGAATCTTAGCGAAGGTTGGCACGATATTGGCACGCCCCTACTAGTCACACGTGAAATGAGAGATCGCGGGCTAAAGCTCTCAGACCCCGAACCTACGATCAGAATTTCGTCGGCATAGCGAGATGTGCACGAGTTAAGAGTCCTGGGAATCAACCAAGGGTAAGAGCAGAATTATCTCTATAGGCTCACAGTACCACAAACCACATGTAAGCCGGCCAACACTCCTCCTAGTATTCATAATCTTATTCGTTCACAAGTAAACAGCCCCATGAGTAATCTGAAACTCGAAGGAGGATTATGTAATTTTATTTTTATTTCTCTCTCTCTCTCTCGTTTTAATTTCATAGCCTGGAGCATCGAATCAAAGTACAACAAATTCTCACGTGCAGATGGGTGAATCCCTTAACCGCATATCGGAAATCGAATGCGCATATCCGAAATCGAATGCATACAGTGGAACGTTTATGAGCCTGACGAAGCCTCATAATCCTAGTGCTAGCTTTGCGAGGTTTTCTAACTTGGCCTAAAACTATGTATTTGGTGCAGCAAATGAAGTCTAACGTTTCGTTAGACTCCGTTTCTGCTTTCGGAGGATATGGCCTTCTGTCTTGTTTTCAAGATAACCGCTTCAGGGATCTGATTTATGGTTAATCGTGAGTGAAACCGAGTGAAACGATGGTAAAAGTTTCTTCAAAGTGTTCAGAATGAAAAAAGAATGATGTGCTTCTCTACCTGATTATTTTTTTTCTCCTCAGCGAAGTAGCTATTTCTTTTCACATTGAGCACTCCTCGGAGTGCTCAATGTGAAAGCTTTTGTTTTGTTACGGACTTCGGCTTGAACTTGGCTCTTCCTAGCGTCTCGCACGCAATCGGCTCGTGTTGTGACCGAAGGAAAGAGCAGACCAAGACAAGGACTTTTCGATGGTTGCTTGCTTCGATCCATTTTACTCTTTCGGATCCGGCATTGATCCCATGCATTTATGGGAATTTACTGCTATTTCATTGCGCTCATCTGATGGACATATATGCCGTGGCGTACTCTAATTGCTGGACAGTGATTTAAAAAAATCATCCACATGATAGCCGTCCAGATAATACAATGATGATCATCCACATCATTGATGCAAGGTACGCGAATTCGCGATTGGTAGATTGCTTTGGCTGGGTGTGGAATGTGGCAGAAGTTTCATGTGTACTAAGCAGAGGAGGCCAGAGCTCTTCTCTTCTCAATACAACTTTCAGAATCTTGGTGACTGGCATTGAGCCGTCAGATCAGTTCAAGCAAATGGAATCCGTATGGGGTCATCGGGGACTTTCTTCTTCATTCTGCCATATTTTGTTATGAGCTGAGAGCTCAATTGGATCGGCCGACTCCCACGCTATCATTCCGAACCAGTTTTGTTGGCAAGAATCACTGGTGTCCATCAAGTCACTTACTTCTACTGGGTCCATCGACGCTGCCCAAAGAGGGACAATCGACCGTCACCACCTCACATTACGCGTCAGAGCGCTGCATCTGCAGCAAGCAGCACAGGATCAGCAACGTCAGAAGTATGAGAGGAGGGAGACCACGATTTGAGCTTCAAGGTCGGTGCACGGAAAGCGTGTAGCTGGGGATCAAGTTCTGGGGAATTTAGAGAATTGTCCGTGGAACATCGTTTTTGACCGATGCCATCTTCGGTTATCTTCCCCTATGGAATTCACTGGTTAAGTTTGGTTGGAATTTTCTTTTACAATTTGCGTAAGATTGCACGCAAATGACAGGTGGATTACGCTATGGCCTTTCTTACGCCAGAATGCTCAAGGCCTCTTAGGACGCACATGGCATCATATGTTCCCAGCCTGTTTTTGTATCTGAAACCATTGTTCCGATGGAGTGTCCAAAGCTTGACTCACAATGTACGGAGCAGGGTGGGACAGTCTGTGCTTCAGGTTTTTCTGACAAATATTCGGAGAGCAACCTCGGTTTGCTAGACTCGCCATAGCGAGAAACGCCCACGCTTCTGATCGTAGGTCAGAGCAGCATGATTGGAAATTTGAAAACATGAAGTCCATCGTGTTAAATTTCTCGCACTGCTGTGTCAGAGGTGAGATTTCAAGACGAGATGCTCTGCTCACCGAAGATACGATTCTTTTGGTGAATCATGGTCTGCTCCATCTCCTCAACTTTCAGTTGCAAGTCCTGAATTTGGAGTTGGAACCTCTCCAACTCTTGCTTCCATATCCCAATGTTGAACTCCTCCGCTTCCTCTTGGAGTTCCTGCTGCTCCCGCACAATCGCAGCAACGAGCCCCATGTGTCCATTAATAACGGCCTCTCGAACCTCATGAGCCAATTCCTCCTTCAATTTCTCCCCCATTGATAAACAACGTGAAATCTCAGATGACCGACGACGGATCCGCGCTGGTCTGTCCGGGCCTAGCCTCGCGTCGGCTGTCAAGTCCGGTCGAGCTCCCAGACGCAACAAGCAAATGCTGGACTCATGCCACTCGTACCGCGTCGAAACCGTGAGAGGTCCAAATCATCGATCGACTCGAGAAATGATGCAATGGCGTCCGATCCGTCCCTCGAGAACTCGGGATTGTGGAAGCGCGGAGCTCGTGGAACCCTAAGAGCTGCGAAGGGCGTGGAGCGGAGAGGTCGATTGGACAGCTGTATGTATGTATGATGGGCAGATCGATCCTCGTCCCAAAGACGATCCGGGGACAAGCAACTTTTGGAATGGCGTGCAGCCTTTCGTTGGGCGCCGAGACGAAGAAGCGACGCCCACCGAGGCCGGCAGTTGCCATAACTGACCCCTGCCGCTGCCGGCCGGCCGAAATGCACTTCACCTGACACCATGTCGGTCGGTAAGAGCGGCGAGAGCTCTTCTGTTCGTCTCCCCGCTCTCCGAGTCTCTTCCACCGGCAATACCGGATCGTTTCCCATGCAGATAGGCACTTCTCCTCACCAGTGCGAGGACTTCATGCAAGTTGAGTTTGATATTGAAATCAAACTTCTCGATATAACGTTGAGACTCACGATATACAGTCGAGACTCATGTATGTTACATTGAAAGACTATTTCAGGGTTGAATTTTTGTATGATGGGCAAGGCGCGAGATCAAAAAAATTCGAATTATGGACGCTTTGGTTAGTTACGTTGAACAAAGCAGACCTACGATTTTGATATGCATACTACTGTTAAAATATATTCAAAAGTATTCAAATTTTTCTAAATTTTCTTTCTAATAATTGAAACGGACAATTTTAGACAATATACACATTGGAGATACAGTACCCGGTCGCTTCCAGCTGGCCGGGATGGGCGTATGAGTTCACATTCTTTGAACTATGACCTGGCTATTCGGTATTTTCTTTGACACAAGAGAAAAAAAATAGCATTTAACAAATGAATGTTTGGTTTCTCTTCTATTGCTAGTAGATAGGTTATGCTAAAACATAACCTAGTTTTAGCATAACCTGATTTTACTTTTCTTTTATTTTAAAAAAATAATATTTAAATGTAATCGATCATATGTATATTGAAATGCATTTTTCAAAAGCAAAGTAACATTGAAAAGCCTTTGTATTGCAAAAACAAAATGAGAGTCTTTCAACTTGCAAGTCAAGACTTGGCAAAGTTCTGGGTTCAATTAGAAGAATTTAGGTTGAAAGTTTATGACCACGATAGCATTTTAGAATTCTCAATTAGTACCCTAATGATTAGATTCAAGAACATATTATGAAAGTTCAGGGGTCTGTGTTGGAAATCCCAATATGGAGTCAAAACGGAAACCAAACATTGATTTGTTAGATGTTATTTTTATGTATCTTGTGTCAACGAAAATACCGAATAGCCAGGTCATAGTTCAAAGAATGTGAACTCATACGCCCATCCCGGCCAGCTGGAAGCGAACGGTATGGAGTCTGGTATCCTTATAAGGTTTACAAAGAAAGCTTCCATTCATCAAAGCTAAACATAAACTTTGTTACCCTTGCAGTGAGATTCTGAGTTCTAGCAGTTCGAACTGTCTAGTCATGTTGCAGCGACATCATGTGGACGGGGAGTTGGACATGAACTTAGTTTTTTCTTGGAAGATGTTTAGTTGTAGCAGTTTCTATCTGTCTGGTCAAGTTGCAACAACATCATGTAGATAATGAGTTGTGTTATAGAGTAGACGTTATCATACCAGTTCTAACTTTGTCAAAAGTTATATGGTACATAATTTATGTTTATATTCAAATATTTGAATTTAATTTACAAATAGGATGAAAATACATACAAGATAAATTTGGAATCTAGCCCTTTTGAAGAATAATGCTTAAAAAAGTGGATGGAATCGTCTAGAAGATTTTGATATATTTTTTCTTTTTGCTATTTCTTCATGTATGCAATTTGAATTAAAATTCTATAAAGTCTGATGAAACATTTGATTTGTTAAAAGATCACTAATAAATTAAATGTAAACATTGTGTTAGAAACCACTCACAGGTTTCTAAGTGTATTACTGTGATAAACAAGCTGTGATGGTGATTTGAATGACTAGATCTCAGTGTATCCCTATACTGAATCTAACACGGGTAAGATGAACTTAGCATAGGTAAGTTAACATGTATACAAACTAAAATGATGTATATAAACGTCTATTTAGTTTGTTCATTATATCATTTGAAATGAAAGAACTAATTATTTTGTAATTCAAACTTCAAAAACTAGAATTAACCGTTTAAAAGTATGGACGCGCTCAACATCTAGTTAAAAACTAAAAACGTTAATGAACTAGATGTTGAACGCTCTGGACTCTGGCTTCGATCTGTTCTCGACAGGCTCTTCATCCTTATTACGAGAGAGACTTGTCAGTGGTTTCTTGCAGTGATACATTGTCGGTGGTTTCTCACAGTGATACACTCAGAGATTTGTGAGTGGTTTTTGATAAAATGTTCCAAGGAAGAGAATCTGGAGTTTTGGAACATGGAGAGTCTGACATCAATGGGACTGATATTTCACAGATGGCGTTCTGCAACAGGGAGACTGGACGTAGATGTGTAAGGTGTAAAACTCATCACTCCTGCTTTTACTCTTTCAGCTCGATTGATCTTGTGGACAGAAATATCACTTCAACGAACTTTTTCTGGAAATCATTACGCTAAACACGATTTGCACTTTGCACTGGGAGGCTTGGTCTTCAGTTGATCTCATTGATCACAATGTGTACTCTGCTTTTTTGTTATGTCTTAGAAGCTTGAAGGTGATTGTACCATCTAAACCCGAGATATGTAGATATCATGGGATGCCTGGTGGATGTGTTCGCGGCGAGAAATGTTTCTATGCTCACAGTATAGAAGATTTACAGAGAAGACCACGAAACTTATCCCCTCTCATGAGCCTTCCGAATAACAATGTAAGTTACCTCAACCTCAAGAGTCTGCTAGGTGTGTCCAAGTATTCTCTTTTCAGAGAATTTTGAACATTCTAGTTCTGTTACAGTGATACTTACTACGAACTGGTGTTGTGTCATGTTTCCATTTTACAGCAAATGTCACAAGAAGACTTTAAGAAGAAAGTCTTTGTGGGAGGTTTATCCCCATCAATCGAATCAGGTAAAACCTGTAGCTGGCGTTTTCTTCGCAGCTTACTTTTAGGAGACTCCAGAAACTGAACTGCGTTATCAAAGACAATCATCGCTCTCTCTCTCTCTCTCTGGCTTTCAAATACGAAAAACTTATGGAAGTGTACTAAATTTCTTGATCATGAAGTGCATGTGGAATATCCTCTTAACTTTATTTTTATATTTATTTATTTATTTAGTTGTGTTGGAGCTGAGAGGCGTGTGCATTATTCCCGCTTGTCCTGTCAGTAAAACTCTTAGTCTGTTATGTGTTGATGTCCTTTGCTCCCCTTTACTTGAGAAATGATTTGTCTAATGACTGTCAAGACTATCTCTGATCCATGCGTTTGCAGACTTAATACGTCAATCGTGCACGTTAGAGAAAGTGATCGGCTGTGATCTACCTCTTCCAGAATGAGAGTGCTTATCTCACTATTCCCAAGTTTGTCCAGGTTTTAACTATTTCGCTCTATGGCAGAGTACTTAAGAGAACTCTTCGAGGCCAAATTTGGCCCCGTCGTGGATGCAGTCGTTATTTCCAGCCATTCCGGTGATCAAGTCCAGTCTCGTGGATTCGGTTTTGTTACCTTCCAGCATGAGGAATCTGTTTCTCTTGCTGTGAAAACTCATTATGTCAGTCTTTGCGGAAAGAAGGTAATCAGAAGTATATCAAACATTTTACTAACCTGTCTTATTCTATTCTACTCTGTTATGTTACTTGACCATTTTATTTCATTGTACAGTTTTATTTTCTTTCGCAAACATCTTATATCTTTCACTGAAAATTCAGTTTATTTTTATTGTTTATTCTACCTTTTTTTTCTTAATTTCTTGTATTTTTATAATTTAGGTCATTTTAAAAATCTGATAATCTTGATTTTAAATGATTTACTTTAAAAAGAATTTATGTTATCTCACAAAATTATCTTCATTCATTCATTTTATAATATTTTGTTTTTGAAAATAATATAATTTTCAAATTTTTATACAGTTTTATTCAAACAATATTTCTCTCATTTCACTATTTTACTCTAATGATTGGTTCGATTTATATATGGCCCAACTTTAATGAGTAGAAAGGTGAACTCTCGAACATATTTGGGGTCTTTTCCCTTGTTTGTGGCTGTCGTTTGCATTGTGTTTTTCAACCTTTTGACCCTCTGGGTCCCCGGGCTTGATCTATTACCATTTACCATTTATTAAGTAGCTTGAAGCATCATGGCACTGTCCAGAGTTAAGAAGAATCTGATTTACTACATATGTGAATCTTAAGCATGCCGGCGTGCTGGTCTTACACCTTTAATTGCACTCCTTTCAATTAAAGGTGTGCCAATGTTGAGGTTTTGGTTTCAGGTCGAGATCAAGGGTGCGGTCCCACGATCTGGATTGTCTCAACTTGATATAGCCAAAAGGAGTCCGACTATGGCAAGAGAATCTACAGCCGTCGTAGCTGACCGAAGTGGGGATGATCAAGGGTCTCCTCTTCTTCATTTCCATGCAGAAAGTGAATTGGAAGGTCAGTGGACAAAAAGACTGAACAAAGAAACTGTAGAGCCGGCCTTTCCTGGAGGGCCTTCTTCATCTATGACAGCCAGCAACACTTCACCCAGCGCGACCCCACACTGGGTGCTGCTATTGAAGCATTGGCTTCCGACATTTTTGAAAGAGGTGTACAAACGCCTCAAGGAAGGAGAATGGTATCCACTTTCTTCCCTGAAAGGTGATTTTAGAGCCACTTGCGGTTTGGAGTTGGATCACTCCGGAATTGGATACCCGAAACTAAATGATTTCATCAAATGTCATCCACAGCTTTGCATAATTAAAGTGGTTCCCGTAGGATTGGGCCCTGCGACTCATATGGTGCTTCTACCGGTCTCGGGTCGGGCGACATTTACTATACCACATCAGATGGAAGCAGATCACGTCAGTAGTCCCGTCCCAGTGGCATCATCGATGACCAAGTCGCATTGCTATGCAGATTCGATTTCTCCTGGGATATTGAACGGTGGAACCAGAAATCTTCAGAGCCCGGTTAGTTCTTTCATGGCCAACATGGAAGATTATGAGCACTTCGACGGATTCCAATGTGTGGGATCTTCAGAAGGCACGATGGATCCAATCACTTCTCAGCAGCTTGCAGAAAACAACTTTCATGGTGATTTTAAACTTCATGCGATCAAAACACCAGTGTTCCCCAGTCAGAGAGGAAAGCGAGCTGAAAGTCAGGACCTGCTACCACAAGGATCCTCCGCCCTGAATGGTACTCCAAGGAAAACTTCTGCGCAAATCTGGATTACTTGTACTTTTCATAAAATATAGCAGGAGCACACAGCGAGTTAACATTTGGAGGTCTGATATAAACGTTATTAAAGATGAAATTAATTTACTAACTTATGCTTTTCATCATGGCAGAAGCATTCGCGAATGCTCGTGCAGATATGGAGGAACTTAAATATGACATCACGAACGACTCACGTGTTCAAAGTCAGATAATGATGAACAACTTTTCAGAGGAGCCAAAAACTCCACTAAATCAAGTAAGTTTGACTCCTTTTTCGACATTGGAGAATCAACCAAAGTCGTTCCCGACACATGAAATGAGCTCAGCAAGTTCATCATACGATATTTGGGGTCAGAGCTTCCCGAATTTGATGATAAGTAACAATGAGGAGAAGACTGTGCCACCTACTGAGATCCACAAACATCAGGTGAATATCGAGATGCTTTTCTTTCGTGGTTTAAATTTTCTTGATTACCTTTGTCATTATACTTCTCTGTATATTATGCTTTCTTTATATTCTTTCATTTGCCTGCATTGGACTCAATTAAAACCGGCAATATATCTATTGTCGGTTTACATTGCATTCAGTCCCACATCGCTACAGAATGAAGTGTGTTACATGTATAAAGGGGCCCCGTTAACCCTAAGCGCACGTAGTGCCTCTCCCTAGTGTCTCGATCCGAAAGAGACTTTTTTGGCTTTACAGGGTCCGAAGGGCCGAATATATTTAATTCTCTTGAAATTTTCATAAAATTTTCACTTTAGTCTTGGTTCACAAAGAATATATTTTTTTGTCACCTGACGTTTGCTTTCTTATCTGACTCAGAAATCAGCCCAAGGTTTCGGATATACTTCTGGAGGATGTAAAAGTCAATGGAAAAACATGGACACACCGGTAAGTGTTCTCAATCCTCTGTCAAATGACGAGGATGATAACCAGTTTATTCCTAATTGTATGTTTTGTTTTCATCAGGAGTCTTTATGGGTCTCCATGCCCTGTAAGGATTACGTAATCTGTTCATCATGTACAGACTCTTTGTACAAGAGCAAAGGAAACACATTGCCAAGTATGTGTTCTGTTTGCTACTGTGAGGTGGATAGGTGGGAAGCAGTGTTGTACTGAAGCAGTGTTTGCCGATCTCAATAATGAGAAAACACACAATCATGCTTTAGTTTGCAGGTTATATTTGTTATTATTTTTTAGATTTCAAAACTTCAACATCTTTCTGACTGTACTCTATAAGAAGTATAATTATTATGGTCAAAGCTTCATTGACCTTGAGTGTAGACTGTAAAGAAGCGTAACGACTAGCACAGAAAGCTCACATTGTTCATCCATTCCAGGAAGCCCTCTTCGAATTCATTCAAAATGTATTCCATTAATGTGATGTTTTTCATTCCCTGATTTTCTCGTTTCACTATTTTCTTGCAATCCTGCATTTGAAATCTCAACTTATCTCCCGACTACTCTAAGTTCGGAATCTACACGCTGAACGCACCTGCCTGATCGATCGATATGCACCCTGCAACAACACTCACTAGCTACGTATACCTGTTTATCAGACTTTCTATCATGCACCATATCTAGCATAAAAGTAATGCAGAAGGAAGATGCAATGCATATTTGCGAATGGTAGGCACTCGAGCGGTGTGCGGATAAGTGATTATCTATTCAACGTTGCGTTCAGATTTACCTGAGCTTCTCTCCTTCCGTCGACAGATTTCAATTGGCATTGTGGCAAGATAAAAATTTGACTGAATAACTAACTGCAAATTCAATTCAAATGCATGGTCAACTGGAGGCATGGCCAAGAGTGCATGACTATTTGAGGTCTCTGAGGTCATTGAAATCTTTATTATAATAGTAAACTATCGGCATAGTATCTTCCACGCAATTCTTTCGCACATGGTCGACATTACTTCCGATATGGCACTTCAGAAGCCTACTTGAACGATGAGTCCGGATGGCACTGTGAGTCTCACGAGTCTAACGTACTGGCGAGGTAATATATATTATTTAGGGAACGACTAGTTATACTCATTTGCCTCTACTATATGCAGATATCTGATTGGTCCAGATTGGTTATAGTAACGCTAATTACCCTAAATGAGTGATAACTAACCCCACCCATTATTTAATATATATACCAAGCTGGACCTTGTTGTCCTTCGATAGTCGATAGCATCCCCACCAGAGCTGTTATGTTCGAGATCCCCGAAGGTCCTCTGTATTTTTTGGAAAATATAACCTGAACGCCTGTGGACTTCCGTCTCAATTTTGCATGCATGGGTTCTGGAGATTTTTTATGTACTAGTTTCAGGAGCTCCTGAGTTTCTAAGATCAGAACTTACATCAGCAAACATTGCCTTGCCCGACGCTTAAAGATCCACCAACCGCTGCTGGGTATCTACATTACTAATGAATGCTTCACCAATGCTCCCGTCGAGGCACCAATCTACGTTCACTTTTGAAAGGACACAGACTGGAACGAGGAGATGAAGTCGCATCTGAAGTATCTGGGAGTTGTAGGTTAGATATTTTAGGTGCTGAGGAGGTGGAGGAAGATGTAAGCTAGTTGCGCATCCGATTGTGAGATGAATTACCAGGGAGTATGAAGCTTAAATCTGTTCCCAGAGATACTGCCTCTTTAGCAAGCACTATGCAGGTGAGAGCTGAATGGCCGACAAAGACATCAGACTCTCATCATTCAAGGTCCCTTATTCAAAGGGAACTTGACTCTGCTTTGTTTGTGGTTATCAGGGAAGTCCTCCTTTCTCATGTAAGAATGCTGTGAACAACTTATCTCGCAACGACAGACGTTTGATGAGATATTTAATCCGGTGGAAATCGGTCCGAACCTAGTGGTTCTATAATTCTGGATGTGTCCAGGTGCACAAGGAATCTAGCGCTGGATGACCGTAAACGTCATCGTCTTCACATCCTCTCTGATCGATCCTACTGTACTAGTACCGCAGGGGTGTTGACATCGGCGTGTCTGGAGTCAGGACCCAAGTACTGTGAACTTTGTCGAAGTTTGCAGTTTACTTTCAAGTGGCCGAGTTTATGAGAAACTCTGTTTCAAAATTTGGGTGTTGAAGTTAAGTTCTAATTATAAAGCATGTGCACAAGTCAAGCATCAGTCGTCTTCCACGTTAAGAAAGAGCGCACAGTGTGCTGACTCAGTAGCTGTCTGTGTAACGTCCGTGTCCACTCCATCTCCGGTAGTTCACTAGCATCAGTTGGTAGGAACCAAATCAAACAAACAAACAAAATCCGATGCTTTACATCCACGATGTATCGTTGTATGTTAAGGTCATGATTCAATTCAAAGGGAAGCAAAGAGTAGATTACAGTGAAGATGGATGGGATGGATCAATTGCATTGGACATAGCTAGCAAACTAGGTGGAGTCTTGTCTGTATCTTCCATCTCTTTTCATCAGGATAGCTTAACCTTAGTCAAAGCCCTCTAGAATGCAAAGTTTACTCACGCCTGCAACTTTTTTTATTCTCCCTACATTAGTTGACATGTTGTATTTCTCTTCATGTCCTTGGGTAGTATGCAAATTGTTTGACTGGATATATTCTACATGTCTGATTCTTGTCCTTTTCCACTATGATTGGTTTCATATGGAGACAGGTAACCTTAGTTAAAACGTACTGACTCAAAAAACAAGTTACGCAATTAACATAGGATTCGGGGGAGTTCTATACTATTCTGATCAATATTTTTTTACAGTATCTATTTTATATAAAGTATTTACAAGGAATTATCTAAAATCACAAGATTTCAAATGCTTCATCATCTAACTTGTTTGAACTTCAATGTATAGTTTTATGTTAAATCTCAAACATTATTATATCTAAATGAATCACACATATGAACTTCAAAGCTTGTTGAATACACTAGAAGTATTGTATTTATCGGACTGTCAATCCATTGAAGTATTGTAAACTTTCAGTCCGATCGCACATTCATATTCGGGTCAAAACGCATTAGTTTCAATATGTTCCAAGGATTACATAAGGATAGCTAATAGCACTAAGTAAACATGGCTGATTAATTTGTTTATGCATAATGAGCCTGATGAAATTTAGCTGTGTTAACTTTACTCTCGACATGGATACCACCTCGCTATGTCGGGAATATATATCGATGTGGATATGTTATAATACAGGTTCTTCCTTCTCGCCCAGATAATCTCGTGCTAGGTCATGAGTTATAGAAAAAGTGGTAGAGATAACATTCGCTAAGATTCTATAGAAGGGCCTAGTACCTTTGAGTATGTCATTTTTTCCTCTGTGGTGTACATTCATCTTTTCCTTTCTAGTAAACGTTAGCTCCTCTATATTTGTATGTTAACGTTCACTTTTCGCCGATAATTTAGCTTCCTTAATTTTTCCCCCGCACGGGAAACACTTCTGACTCGTGATAGCCGAAGAACTTGCTGCAATCAGAATCATCGCTGCGCCATTAGTACCCTTGCTCAGCTCTAGGGAGCGAGAACATGACCGTTTGCACAAAAAAACAATCCTTGGAGTGGAATCACTATACCCGTAACCAGTATCCCATCGGTTGGTGTATCCTTTGACATGTAATGGGGAAATTTTCATAGATAGAGCAAGTAACTCACGGCAATAGAGTTTAAGATCTGTGATGATAGTGTGAATTTCATACTATTGAAAACATCCACACGGCCACATGAAAATATGCTGGTTTCGAACCTTGTTTCTAGGCATTATTACATCTATAATCCCTTTATGTCTCTGAACAGGTAGGGAACAAAATCTCTTCAACTCACAGTAGATTCGTCAAGATGCGTGGTAATTGGCAAACACCCGACACCAAGACTATTTACCTTCATATAGTACAAAATCTATAAGAATCAATGAATTACACGATCCACCCTAAGGTTACCTACTCCTATTCTCCTAGTATCACTCGGATTCAGGAATCTCATCATTTTCCTAAGGCTGCCTTTAACCACCAGAAGCCTTTCTTATCTGTAGAGCTTTCAGGCGTATTTTCAGTGTCGACTCCTTCAACTTGCGAGGTTTTCACCAGACAACTTGTATCATACCCCTGTTTCGTGGCTTGCTCAAGAAGACTTTGATATATTTCATCACTCATTTGTGGTGTCCGACTCAATACCTGCGTGGAAAAACTGACCGTTAGCATCATTTCACAAGAAGAATTGTTTATGCGATCTCGAAGAATATATCTGAAAGAAGAGTAGTAAGAACACGAAATAAAGATGCGAAACGAGAGACATGTCGGAAAATTATACGGAGAAACCTACGAAGAGAGTCTCAGTGAGAGAAACCGCTAAGTCTCCAGAAACAATTCTTTTCAAGATATGGCGCGGAAAGAATAAGACTCTTACCCACAAGTATTTCCTCGAAGGTTGGCCGACCAAGGCATATTGATAATTGTCGAAATCTAGGGCAAGAACCCAGTAGTCCCCAGTCACGGGGAAAACAGGCAAAAACGGTGGCACCCAAAATCGCACTTTCAGTTTGGCATCTTCGCTACTGGCATCTGCCTTCCAAGCCTTGCCTTCAATATAGCTCCGCGTTCCATCGACCCAGGTCTCGTTCAGAACGTGGATGGTCTGATCAGGATTCAAAGTATACGTGGCCCTCGTGTTCGTACCCTGCTTCGGCTGAAAGCGAGACTGGACGCATGCAATCTCATACCAGCGCCCGGCGTACCTCTCCAAGTCTACATTCTTCACAGTCTCCATAACTTCTTTCGACAACCTCCGGCTCAAACCACGCAGCGCTATTGTGACCGACTGCACAAAACAACACCCACTATCTCTCGCGCACTCCTTCCTAAGTACTGCTACTCCTCCCACGGCAAGCTCTTGGCTTCGGGCTCAAGCTCCACCTTCGCCGACAGACAAATCGAAAGATTCCTGCCTTGATCGTCAAGATTTGCGCCACAACCGACCTAAGCAAGGCGTCTAGCACCGTCTAAGCTCCAGGAAAAATGTCGAACTTCGCTCTGATCTCTGACTCCACCTCGTCCTCTCGTGGCTTCGTCGACCTGTCTCCACTTCGAGAGTGTTCGACACCAAAGGCAGCACGGCAGGCAGACTCGCACCTTCCTCCAGATCGCAGTCGCGTACCCGAGCGCGTACTGCGTTCACTCTACAACTGTGTAGGTCGGTACGTGGCGGTCTATTTTTCTCAACCATGTATATCGATCGGACGGGATCGGACGGGGCTCGGGTGGGTGTTGCGACGCAGTTTCTGCGCATCACGCTCGTGTGGTAGAAAAGCGCAGTGGGGACCGTGTTCCTGGACTACGTACCGCGGCCACTGCCAAGTCGGATTGTTCCCAACTCCTGCTGTTCTGCCACGCGCATGGGCTGGGAGACGAACACTTGGATAGCTCTCATCCACCAATCGTGACGTTCCCCGAGGGCGATCCCGCGACATCATCCTACAGGCGATTCCGTCACTTGCAGACTACTCCGTTGAGCTTTCTGTTTCCTTCGGGAGCGTCTCGACGGCTCTCTGTCAAAAACAACCGTTGCCACCAGACGCGGACGTTTCGATCCACTTTGAATGTCCGACCCATGGTTCCATTTAGCGCAAGGATTTGAAACTGAGACTCAGATTTTCTTGTGTGCCTTCTTGAATGCCTTCTTGATCGTTCTTGTCTCCGCACGAACTCGATTCCACCACTTCCACACTTGTTGAGCATTTCGTGGGGAGGAGCGAAGTGAAGTTGCAGAGGTCTGATATGGATCCACATATGACTCATTACAAAGCTCTTCGCCGTCATATGAATGGTAACGATCAGCAAACTGGTTGTGGCCCGATTTCATGAGAAGTGTTTTGGGTGTCAGATGAGTTCAGATGATTCACCTGTCCACAATGTTTCTTTTGAGTCGTAAGAGTGTTGAGATAAAATGCCGAAGAAGCATATGGAATTTCTCTTGCTTTTGCCGACGGGACGCTATTTGTCCATGAACTAATTAATTTTTTATCACTCGCTGACACTTACGTGCAACTACAGAGCATGAAGACAAGATTGATGCCTTGACTACCGAGCAACATGAGAAACAAACAATAATTGATCTTTTAAAACAAGATTTGAAAGCAGGTAGAGACAGCACTACGTTGCCATTGTACACATCAACATCAGTGCTTTGTATGTAGCATATATAGCGTGGTCGATATATGTTGCGCATTTTCATCTGTATAACTTACATGCAAATGAACACAGTTCGTGAGGAGACAGCGCGCCTTGAACTTGCAATCAAACTTCGGTCGAAAGAAAGTGACCAGTTATCCAACTCTACCAAAGAGTGTAGGAGAAGTTTAGCAGAACGCGAGGAGAGCCGCCGTGCTCTTGCAGATGTGAGTCTCTTGTTTTCGGTCTCTTAAGAATGTTCAGTTTTCGAATGATTGCTGTTCATGAAATGATCTATACCTACACATGCCACACTCTTCGAGATGGTCAGAACTCAGTCACACGGTCGACATGACATTGCAGGCGCTGCGGGTTCTGAAAGAGGAAACGAAAAATCGGTCCGCTCGTCTGACGGAGAGAAAGTAAGTGGCATGGTTACACTTACGTTCCTAGTCCTTCGATTGGTGCGAAGGCTATCACACTTTTGTATAAAACTTGACATCCCATTATTTGTTTGATTTTACTTTCAGGTTGTACTTTGAGAAACTTGTATCGTCGACTCGATCTGAGCTGGAGAAGTGGATAGTAAGTGTACTTGCTTCCTTCGACAAAGCAAATAAGTTCAACGGAGATTTCATCATTTGCACTTTCTTCACTCCTAGACATGGAGCTACAAAAAAACCGCATGAAAAGACTAGATAAGCTAACATTGAGTTCTTTCCTTCCTCCATGATAGTAAAACTTAATCATGATGACTTGTATGAAACAACTCCATCTCTAACGTCTGGGAAAATGTGTTCAAATTCTAGTTTCACGTCCAATCTTCTCAGCCGAAGGAAGGGAGTATTCTGAAGGTAAAACTCACGAAAAGCTATTGATCAGACGTTGTCGTTACTACTCTAGGCTAGTGGTATATTTTCAGCACCTAGCCACTTTTACAATCAGAAGGAGTGCTATAATCTAACACTGTGAAATCTTCACATCAGAATGTACATGGGACACGCAGTCTTCCAGGTACGTACTCTATCGCAGGTATCAAGTATCAAATTGTGTTATGCGTTTGAATCCACGCCGTACAACTTTCCTGGTTATCTTATCTTGACTGTTGTGAACGCACGTCCAGAAACAATCGACTATATCAAAGAAGCAATTTCAGTCGATCACGCCGAACCTGATCATCATGAAGTATGGACTCTAGAAGTTTCTTTCTTTTCCTAGATATACCTTATTTGCATCTTCTCCTTCCGCTAAAATTGTACTCACAAGTCATTCATTATAATAGCGCCTGCGCATGGAGTATGAGTCGACACGTCCCGTTAATATCTGCTTTTACGCTCCTCTATGGGGAAACTTCTGGTGCAATTACTGATGGAAAAGCCTCTGGCAGGAAGGAACTACCATTCCTGTAGCGACTAAACCTCGTCTGGAGGAGACCCTGAAGGAGTTGCAATCGCAATACCATGAGGTATTTCCAAACTGTTAGGTCTTATCGCACATTACAACAACAAAGATGGCCAGCACAGATTACAAGACAAGATATCGGGGAGTACATGAACTTTGCGAACAACATTCCCCGTCTCCTATTATTCTCCACTTAAGCTTTACAATGTGTTCCGTTCAATCACGGATGTATCGATGTCCCTTCTCATTGCGGACATGCCGAAATATTCCACAATACAATCACCGAAAAAGCACATGTTTGGTGCAGCTCGTCATGATAACTCCTAGACTGGAAGCGAACTTGCTTCGACTCAAAACAGAGAAGACAGCGGAAGAGGAGTTCATAGTGTCACTCACTGAACGTCTTACTCAACTAAAGGTAAAAATTGATGCCCACGGAAATGAATATGCTACATGCATTGCAGTTACATGTATTTAGTCAGATTATTTCCAAACCAGTGTGTCCACCTTGGACTTACACTTCGTTGTTCCCCACGTAGGACTTTTATCAGCAAATTATTTGCGAGTCTTGCGGTCATGATTATTCGATCCAGTTCGAGGAATTCACATTTGTGGTGCGGGATAGTACTAGTGACCAGACTGAAGTTTGCAGCGCAGCTCAAACTTAGGAAAAGGACGCTTGTGAAGGACTAATCTTCACTTGAAGTAATGTATGAATGCAAGATGTGTCTCAATGCGGTGTACTTCCTGAGCGTTGGCAACAGCCATGTCTTCTTCCTATTGGTGGTCAAAAGCAAGCACGTCTCACACCCGCCTCCAGTCTATTCGTATTGCTTGCATCAGCTTTCAAGGATGTTATTCGACTGTACTACGAAATCAGACGTGATTTTGGCAAAATGCTGTGGCTATGAGGGTACTTGGATTCTGAACGAGAGAGAAAATTCGATCCAGATTGCTCTTTGAAACTTTAGTTCATGACCCTCATTTTAGTTGTTGTGCATGGTACCCTGTTCCTCACCTGGCGTCTGTTCTGGCTGATTCTTCACTTGAGCCATATTAGACTAGATTATCTGATTCCAATACAGCTTTGGATCTCAAAATTGCACAAGTTATTGTTATTGATGACTTATCTGGTCTGAATATGCCGGCAAAATATCTCAGGGCTAGTACTGAAACCGTCTTCCACCATCCTAATATTCACAGTAGATTCTTCAAGTGCAAATCAAAGGGTCACAAGCCTGATGGGTAAATGTGGGGATGTGGACAGGCGGAGAGCCCTGTCCTGTGTATCATGATCACGTCGTCAGATTCCTCTTGAGACGGTACGATATGTTTACGGTAGTCGAAGAATGAACGAAGTCTCTTGTAGAACATAACAATCCCAGAACCACCTCACAGACTTGAAACCTCCTAACCTTTTCAGCCCATTTGTACTTGTTTGCTTCTAGTACATTTACCATAACTGCAAAACGATGTGACAAGAGTTCCCACTGACGTTACATCAGGAGCTAGAGCAGAGCAGGATAAATTACTTGTTCAGTTCAGACGCCAAGAGGGCCGCATGAAGCGACATCTACTGTAAAACCGATGCAGAAGACGACCTAAAATTCTGCTCATTAGATTTAAGTTTCTCCAACACCGTCCTCAGTCTGGTATCAGCTCTGAAATCTTAATTCCACAAGAGTCATCCTCCAATACACCATCACCCTCACCGGAGATAGACTCTACAATGTCCTACGTTATCTAGGCACCCGAAAAGCAAAAATCCGAACAACATTTGTAAGTTTGAACCAGGTCTCGTCTCTATTGTGACAGTTCATCACTGATTGTAACAGAAATCTTTATACAACTAGGGTCTTGAACACAGTCAGCTCTTCATCTTTCCTACAGCAATCAGGAGACTCGCGCTTCATCCTTGGGTTGCCCCATTGCAAGCTGCAGTCTTACCACAGCTTCTTGTCCTCTCTCCACAATTTTTTCTAGTTTCTTCAGTTCTTGTGACAGCTGTCCAAGATGCAACTGGGATGTGGGTGTCAACTTGTCTGCCGTTGTCAATGTCGCGCATAACTAGTAGTTACCAGACATGCACAGCCAGAAATGTACAACTTAGACTGTGGAAGTTGATGCTTTCAAGGCCTCAGACATTATGTGCATGCTCTGCAAACAGCCTCAGATGGAGAAAACAATTCTAGCTACTGACTCGAAAACTGCTCTTCGCCACAACACGTCACCAGAAAGAGAGTTAGAAAGGGAAGTAGAAGTGAACAGCCGTGAAGTCTAACTACCTGTTGTGTGAGACCGGTCCAGGTATGTCCAGACTGTGACAAGGCCACATTGAGCTCGCTGTACGTTTCCTGCACTTCGACATACTGACATCAGAACGTGTCGTAATCCTGCTCAGTGTGTCTGTCAACATCAAAGCTTGTTCTACCGAAAGAAATGTTCAAACTCATGAAAACCGCCACTGACGTGACACTTGTGACAAGTGCACAAGTGACAAATGCAACGGGAGATTCTTGATGTCAAGCAAGAACCCACTCAAAGAGAGGGTTACAATTGCAGCTGAGAGATGGACCTCAAAAGCAGTTGGCAGGTCCTGAATTTTGAGCCCTGCGAAGAACATGATTTCCAGAGGATCAAAACCCAACTCTGCTTCGAGGAGAAGTTACAAGAAGTTTCATTCACCGAAGGACACACTCATAAGGAGCTGAAAACAATTGTTTTTCTTCTCGGGAGAAGACCCCTTTGCAGCGGAACGTCAATAACACAAAAGCTGTACAAACTGCCACTGAAAGCATTAGGTTCATCGATTCATCAAATTTAATCATTATTAAGTGTCTAGAGATTCTGTCACCACCAACAGCTTTTGACCACACAGAGCACTTACAACCAGCAGATCCTCATGCCTTCCGATGAAATTGGAATGCGGGGATGGTCCGTATGTCATTACCTGGTTTGAAATTCTGAGCAGAGGGCGAAAGATCTGGAGAATCTGAGGAGAATGATTTCTTGAAGAAAGTTTCCGAGCTCGAGTCCTGCGCTAGGTCTTGCAGCATGTCAGCCACCCTCAACAACGGCCCGCCGGCTCCGGAACTGCCTTGCGCGGCCATAAGTCAAATTGGAGCCTCTGCTCGTGTTCTGTCCGATGCCTTCATGCGCAGGATGGTAAATTCGCCCGCATCTCGTCTCGATCGAGTTCTTGCCCGTATCTCGGACACTCCAATCACGAGTGGACGGGGAATGCAAAGCAACCGAGCGAAGTTACTGGCAGTCGATTCGGAACCGCTAGATCCAATTTCCTTGCAAGCAATCAATTCTTCAACGAAGAACATCTGGGCGACACCGTTCAGGTCTCATTTGAACTTAAGCAAGTTTCTAGTGAAATCTCGAAAATCAAAATCCCGTTCATTTGGTGTGTTTTCGAATAAATTGTCTACATTTCAGAAAACCTAGGAATTCCTGCCTCTGTTTCTACAAGCTCCATGAATTGGTCTCTATTGCATGTACATGTCATTTATATCGAATGCAAATTTTGTATTCAATGTAAATCTTTGATTTACCATAGAATTGATCTTTGAGAGGTTGAAATCTATTGATGTATATAACACAATCTACAAATTTATAGATTGTAACACCTGTATACATCGGCATACATTGTGATTAATATGATTATAAAAGAGAACTGATGAGAACGTCAAAATTTGTCATTTAGATATTACATCTTCTTCTTGAAGAATTTAAATTTTTTAGCTACATTTTGAATCCACAAACAATCAAAATTTCATTTAGTTCATCAAATGTTCTCAAATTTACATCACTAAGTTTTGTAAGATCATCAAATTAATTGCCTTCACAATCAAGCAAGGCTGAGATCTTCAGAATCAATTTTTGTCATAACACTTTTTTTTACCAACGATAAAAACCTTCATGTAATTGTCATTTGAATTTATCATCAAAATTTTATTAAATAATTATTTTTTTTAGATTCACTACCATCAAAATATTTCCTAGTTTTATGTATATTGTATTTATCATATGTTTGTATACTAAAATTTTTCTATATTTCATGTGTAAACTATGTGACTCAAATCAATGCAAGTTTTTCATATGACATTTTTAGTCATTTAATATGATATTTAAAATAAATTTTAAAATTTATGCATACACTGATTTAAATTTGATTCAAAAATGCATTGATTATTTTAGAAAACTAAGTCTATTAAAAAAATATTTTAATGAATATTTTAAATATATATATTATGAAGAATTACAATGAACAAATTTCATTGTAATTTGTTATATACAATAGAGTTTAGAGAAAACATAAATTTAAAGATAAGATATACCAATAGTTATTATACTTTTTTATATAGCTTAGTAACAAATACAATGAAATAGTATCTTATATTTATCATCTAATTCACCTTAAATCGAATTCACTCCTAGAGTATTCGTGACACGAAAGATATATTTAATAAAAACATGAAGAGTTGATGTTTCGCTACCAACTAACACATTAATTAATATATATACATTGTTCAGGTGATGCTGTAGAGATTTCATTATAAGTTTCTCTACTCAATTTTAAGTAACCTCTATTTTCAATTCAACCAGCTAAAGATAATTACATTATATATAAAAATTATTTATGAGGATTGTATAGACTTGGCCAACACTTCTCTTTTAAAATTATAATTGAAGCATTTCACGTACGTTCTTATGATCACCACAAATCTAAACGTACACTCTAACATTCAGTCTGAAAAACAATTCAAAACTTCTCTTTTAAAATTATAATTGAAGCATTTCACGTACGTTCTTATGATCACCACAAATCTAAACGTACACTCTAACATTCAGTCTGAAAAACAATTCAAAATGTTGTTTTTACCTTCCAGTCCGCTGCATGATAACTTTTATTCACATTTTTTGATTTGTTTTTCTTGCAACATCTTCTTGATTATCTCAGTCTCACGTATTTTTATACATTTTGTCCAAAAAAAATTTCCAAATTTTCTTGTGCCCACATATTCTCTACAAAATAACTTATAATCTGCTTGGATTGGTCATTGCGAAAAACTATGTTTGTGATGATTGTGTGATCATTCTTAGTATGTTTTACATCTAGCGCCATAGTCTTTAGTTTTTGATTTTTTAACACTTGTCTTGCAACATATCCTTGATTGTAATCATTTCAGCTATTTGTATACACTTCGTCAGAAAAATATTTCCAAATGTTCTAATGTACTTCATCCGCTCTTTTGAATAATTTATGATTTGCTTGGGCTAGAGCTTGACGTCCTCTATGATCGTGGCAATTACAAGATTAATCTTGGTAACATTTTCATCTAGAACCATTATTTGTAATTTTCTATTTTTTGCTTGTAATACCTTCTTGATTGCCAACCTTTCGATTCTCTCTATACATTTTCCAAAGGGTATCAATTTTAGATCTACTTGTGAGCACCATCCGCCGTAAGTAAAAACTTATGATTTGCTTGTGCTCGCAGTTGCAACCACCGTTTGTGATGCTTGTCTTGCAACACCTTGTTGCCACCATTTGAGTTGTTTTCAATATATTAAATATAATATGAGGATTTGTTTTACATACAGAAGAAAATAAACTTATATGCACATTGATTGATTTTTTATCAAAATAAAACCATTTTGAAATATATTATTTTCCATGAAAATTTGTTTGCTCATACATGGAATATACTTAAAAATCTCTATTTATGAAGATTTATAGTGATTTTTTACTCGTGATCATCTTCATGTATGTATTGTGTTCAGATGTCACTTGATTTTTTCATACTATTATCACATACATTATCAATCTATCAAAGTTTCAATATGTATTGTCACTTGATTTTTACTCCTATTATCATATACACTGTCAATCTATCAAAGTTCCAATAAAATTATCATTTTTTTCCGGTTGTCTAGTTAAAAGTAGGTATATAATAAATTATACTAGTAGACATGTTGGTATGATTAAACGTTTGAAATCTAGCACTCAAACTTCTGATATTAGTACCATAAATGACATATACTCTAAATGAACTTTACATGATAGGGTATTCTTACCTTAAATTGATGTATAAAATATGGTACTTTTTTTTTCATGTTGCAATAATGTTTGATGTGACAATCACCGTAATTTGTGTAGTGAAATTTAATGTGGTAAAAGCATGCAGATAAACAATTTATTCTCATGAGTACACCTAAGTACAAGGCTAGATGCAACTTTAGTCACTTGGCTAGAATGAGAATATTTAAGTTGAAGCTTTGACAGTTGGCAATAATAGAGCATTAGCTAGTGTAGGAATTTGATTCTAATAATTGGTTAAAGGTTATTCTAGTCGTAAGGAATTAATTTGTCTATTTTGATATCATGTAAGAAGGAGAATTCATAAATAAACGGGTTAGAGAATGGAAACTTCAACCTGCTTGAAGATCAGGCACTTACAAGATTTGAAAGCTTGGTAGTTGAGCTGGAAAAAAAGTGATTTTGAAGTGTTCTATAAAATTATATGTGGAATTCTACATGACGAGACCCTGGATAAAAATCATCTGCTTGAAATTACAGATAATCTTCCTCCGATCCGGGGAAGATCTAGTGCATTCTCAGATCGAAATTGATCGTTTCTGTTGGAAGAAATCGAACAACACAGGAGCTGATATGAAGGAGGTCTAAAGCAGAAGGCCATTCTTTGTAAATGTGTGGAAATCAAATGAGTTGTACTCTGAACTGTAACCGAGTTCAGTTAATGTAAATACGCTGAGACAGAAGCGGAGAGTGGTCTCAGAAGGAGCGGCTCTTGGAAATGAGCCAGATAACGAACATGACGAGCAGGATTGCTCCCAGCTGTTTATTCCGTGGACTTCATAACACAACTCTGGAGGCTGTCGACTACTTCATTAGGACGCTGATGTCTAGCTCAACTAAACATCGAAACAAAGTTGAAATTCCATAGATTACGTCTACTTTCCCCATTTGTGGCTTCTGAGCTGAGCTGCCTAGAAATTCTGATTTTCAAGACGAGCATTGGCAAGCAGGACGCTTGCCAATGAGATCGAGAACACAAAGAACAGAAAGTGTTAGTAAGAAACGCCATTATACGATAGAACGATAACGTGGAAAGAAATGGGAAAGATCGCAAAAACTTACGCAGGGCAGCAGAGAAAGGAAACATCTGGAAGATTTACAGAAAAGAGATCAGATAGGGAGCCATAATTTCGATCGACAGCAGATTAAGAAGCAGAATTTACAGGTGGATGTGGTACCTTTCTACTTGGCTCCCCCAAGCTATGGAACTACCGATGGGGCCCTCCCGGCTCAATACGAGCATTTTGTCAATTGCATGGTGGAAGATGTCACCTTTCTCAGAAGAACCCGAACTGTAAGTTCGGAAGTCTATGATCGGAGTCTTGAAGTCCACATCTGATCGGAAACAGCGATTCAAGAACGTGCACGCAAACGTTTGCTGGCAGTAACTCCATGAAGGCAATCAACGAATTGGTTACAAACAGTGGTCTTGGAACAGACGCTCTTCGGCTCTCGCGAAATATCTGGACACTCTGAGTTTGAGCGAAAAACGATGTCTCCCTTATTGCTAACAAGTTGCACCTTTCAAACCTATCCAAAACCAGCACAACGAAGCCAAATCAAGAAGCTCTCTCATCTCATGCCCCGCACGTCGTTGACGTGGTGCGTCGACTGTCAAGTCTCGAATTGCGATTCATGTCTGCCGATCCGACTCATTCTGCTCTTCGTGCCTGCTCATATATAAACAACCATCAGACATCTCTCAGACAGGAAGTCAGCAAGTTTGCCTCTTTGTGCATGCGTACCTTTTCCCTCTCACATTCCTGAAATCTGTCAGGAACTCGTTCAGCTGAGGAGTCTGGGATCATGATGAGTCCCATCGTCGTCTGTCTGCTGCTGCTGATGTCCAGTTCAGCATTTCTCACCCGAGGCCGGGCGGAAGAGCTTTCGGATCCTGGAGCGTCCACCGGGAGGTCCCTGCTGCGCTACCCGTGGTACCCGGTAGAGTATCCTCCCCCTCCATACGACCCAGTTCCTGAGGTTCCCGCTCCGGCCCCCGCCCCATCGAGTACAGGGCCGGTTGTCAGAACCCCAGCTCCTTCACCGGGCCCCGCTCCCGTACCTGCACCGAGAGGCCCGGCCCCCGTTCCTTCGCCTAGAGCTCCTACTCCGGCCCCCGTTCCAGCACCGAGGGCTCCCACTCCAGCGCCCGTTCCATCTCCGAGATCTCCCGTCCCTGCCCCGGCTCCTGTTCCGGTTCCACGAACGCCTGTCCCAGCTCCTGTCCCCGCTCCCAGAGCTCCTTCTCCAGCCCCTGCTCCCAGGACTCCCGTCCCAGCTCCTGTCCCCGATCCGAAAGCTCCTAATCCAGCCCCCGTTCCTGCTCCTGCTCCTGCTCCCAGAGCTCCTGTCCCCGCTCCGGTCCCCGATTTCACAGCTCCTACTCCGGCACCTGTCCCCGCTCCGAGAGCTCCTACTCCAGCCCCTGTTCCTGCACCTGCTCCTGCTCCCAGGGCTCCTGTCCCAGCTCCTGTCCCCGCTCCGAGAGCTCCTACTCCAGCCCCTGTTCCTGCACCTGCTCCAGCTCCCAGGACTCCCGTCCCAGCTCCGGTCCCCGATCCCAGAGCTCCTACTCCAGCACCGGTTCCTGCACCGAGGGCTCCCACTCCAGCGCCCGTTCCATCGCCCGGAGCTCCCGCTCCTGCTCCCAGGGGTCCCGTCCCTGCCCCGGCTCCAGTCCCAGTGCCACGAACGCCCGTCCCAGCTCCGGCTCCGGCTCCAAGAACTCCGACTCCGGCACCAGCCCCGGCGCCAAGAGGTCCAGCCCCCGTCCCAGCACCCGTCCCTCCGGTCTATTCACCACCGGAATACCTGCCGTGCTCGCTCAACCGCGACTGCCGATACAATCCCGCAGGCCCGACCTGCTGCTTCGGCAAGTGCGTCGACACGAAGACGGACGAGAAGAACTGCTTAGTTTGTGGACTACGGTGCTTGTCGGGCTTCACTTGCTGCGGCTCCCTCTGCCTCAACCTGGACATCGACCCGTTCAACTGCGGCGCCTGCGGTTACAAGTGCACCAAGCCCAACCTCTTCCCGTGGCTGCCGCCTCTCGTCGGCAGATGCCGCGACGGCGCGTGCGTCTAGACCGCGACCGGACCGGTGAGCGTCCCATCCTGCGCCCGTCGTGCAATCATTCTGGTTCGCTTTTGCCCCGCCGCCATCTCTGTCTCGTTCATTTTGCTTTTGTCGCCGTCGAGCAAATGCCCGAAGATGTTTGCAGGGCCCTTCTGTCGTGACTCACCGCTGCATTCTTCCCTTGCACAGCAGATGGCCATAAGTTCTACGAGGTCAAAATAAGCGGGAAATGTTCGTGGGCGACGCGCCGGCTCGCAGAGTTTTGCAAGTCGTCTCCTCGTTTATGGACGTGATTTTTGTCAGATTCAGAGATGACGATCATCTTCTTTGCCCTCCGTGTTGGAACTCACTGTTAGAGTACGGCGATAGCTACGGAAGCAATGTCTTCGGTATATCTTAGTATGAGAATAACCTCTTTTAAGTCGACAAGATGTAGAATAATGGAAACATGAATGAGAAATATTCTCACTTTTGAGTATCCCGGTCCAGCTTCTCAGTGTCATGTAATCGAATTCTATCCACGTTCATTTTCAGCTGGAAAGCTACATTCATGCTGGAAAAGACGGTGGTATTATCTTTCCTTTTCTTTACATTGTTGATTCTCATGCAGTCGACAGCTGAATAAGTCTGGACGTCTTTCCTTCAAATGCAGTTCATGATTAGAAAATCGGATGGTTCTATACTTCGGTGCAATGTGTGGCTTTTCCAAAACTTTTCAATTTGCACTCAGAATCAAGGGTCCCGATCGCAGGTTGCCTTTCACTTTAGCATATTCATCTTGATTGAATTTGATGTCAGGTTCACGAGGATTTACAGCAATACAAGACAAATATCCACATTTCAGCCCATCTAAAAAGGATACTGGCACAGTAGATAAAACCTGGATCTCATATCAAGAACCTTTCCGCTGCTTCTTTCGGTTGCTCAGTGAAGTCTGTGGTTACCGTTTATTATATTGTCTCTTGAGCCTTTTTCTTCTTTGAAGTTCCTCCTCGTTACCCGTTTCAGTTTGAGAACTATACACACGAAGCTGTGAAAATCGATTCTCCACAGATCAATCGGTAGACAATTCACTTGTATAATTTGAAACTACATGCGACTAATCTCTTTTTCTGCGGCGTCATCACTCATGGTGTGCTTTCATGTTAGCTTCAAACCGCAGGTAACAATGATGAACTTGTAGGACGACGTCAAGGTGTGACAATTCGAGAATACTAGAAAATGGCTGCTCATCTACGACGTACGAAATAAGCCGATTTTCGACTAAGAATATTCATCCAATTCCAAGATCTGGTTGCTTGTTTTCAATCCTTTACACATACATATACCTGCAGTTCAGTGATAACTTGTACCAACGAACTTCAGCGAGTTGAACTCCACAGATATGTGAGTTGTTGACAGACTTTCTGATTTGTTCTGAGTCAGTGACCCGATCGATCGAGCGAGCAGTGCCTGCCAGCCAGCTCTTTGTTTGTGCCTACGAACCATCTCCAGAGTATACACAGCGGCTGGATTTGTAGGCTGGACTAGATCCTCCTCAGCTTTTCTCAATCATGGCAATGCGCTCATGTGGCAGTTGTAATCGAATTTCAGCTGAATCCGCAGTCGCCTCGGACTTTTCATCAGCTAGGGCTGGCTAGATTACGAAGGGAATCACAATCTTTTAATGGAAAAACTCGCATAGCTCTCGTAGACGCTATGCCGGATTCTGAGTTGTGATTCGCAAGAAACCTTGGAGGGACCGACCTGTCCTTAACAGAAACAGGAGGATGTTGGAGGATTTCGTACTGCAAGTCCTACCACTGGACTCAAATCTGGGACTCACCATACTTCCCCTCCCAACGTAGACTCTTGTGATGACACCCGATCTCTGAGCACGATATGAATCACGAGATGTTCGTATCGTATGATGACTGCGAAGACAAATACCTGCTCTCTACAGTTCAGCCACTTTTTCGTCTAGAGGTAGTAAGTTTTTCACGTATCGATGTATTATTCTACTTGCTGGTACACACGACGACGACATATTTGCAGCGGAAGTCACCGGGTTACAGATCGAAATCATTTCTTCCTTTCTTTCTCCGACGGGTCTGAAACAGACAGCAATGAAGTCTTATCAGGATCAATCACAATCCACAAAATACAATCCGAATTTTTGTCTATCTGGATTCTCTTGAGCATCTCTCGGATATCCTCGCGGTCACCCGGATGTTAGCCTCGTCGATTTCAACCGGATTCTCTTCGCTGTCCCTCGAGGACTACTACTACTTCCACGTATCACACGAAGATACGAGGCCCTGAATGTCGACAAGGACCGATCGGTTTCTCAACTGAGCTGGGTCCGACTTTCTTCAATTCTCGGCAGTAATTGTTGATCGAATCTGTTAGATGGGGACTGGGGCTGGAGCTGAAGCCAGCCGGGAGAGGTCGAATGCTTATATACGAGCTCCACCATCCATCCAGCGAGCTATGGAGATGGAAATTTCCACAGGAGGCTCTTTGGATGGCAGGGACCTTCCACTCTTCCATTGCGAGTCCTGGCGCTCAAGCCTGGCAAGTCTCGCAGAAAATGTGGACGACGTTGAATCGGGGCCTTCCTTCCTTCCCCGATTCCTCGTTTCTCGATCTCTTTTACGATAACTCGTCCAAACGAATTGACATGACTGCACGGCAGAGTCATGTGTGGCCATCTGAGAAAGGGAGCAAAGTTTTGTCCGTATGCACACGTGCGATGATAATGGATGGAGTCAAATGGTGGTGGACATAAAGATGGTGTTTACCATCTTGAGGTGGACAGCTTTATCGAGACAGTTCTTTGATCCACTTTGAATGACGGTCGTTCCTGTTCTCATTCTTTTGTTCATCTTTTGTTCCTGTTATATCTACTTGTAATATCTCCCAGATGAAGCTGGCAATATATTCCAAGAAAGTTTTCCTTGAGTACATATCATGAGTATCTGTCAAAATGTACTTTCATATTATTTGGTGATAGGCGTATAATAGTAATTTGATGGAGTCGTGAGTGTATATGTCTACTTATGAGACATGTATACTCATAATTATATCAACTCATATGCAATTTGAACGAATATTGTTAAAAATTCATCTTGATTCTCTATATAATGATATTGATTGTTTGGTTATATATTCTTCATCCACAAAAGATTTGAAACTTACCTTATATTTATATGTTCAACATAGATTTCAATATTTTGATATTGAATAGAGTATTTCCTCACCTTCACTCCCCTTATCTCCCACTCACTTTAATTCTCCTCCTTTCTCATACCACTTGAGATGATGTCTATGCTTTGAAGTATACGTGTCTGCATCATGCTGCCGCTCGTGTCTAAAACGCCATCACCAAGCGATCCGATTCCAAGATGGTAGCTTGTCACTAGAATTTTTAATTTTACACTTACCTGTCTAAACAAAAACGTAAAAATATGTTAGGAAAGGAGATAGAGTGGAAAAAACAAATCAGAAAAATGGTAGTATCAGCCCCGAGGAATATAAGTAGATTTATGTTTACATAAATATGAACATATATTTATACATTTATAATATAAGTACATAGTTAAATCTCCCAAAAGTGTCATCTCCCATTAGTGACATCAAAATGTAGAACCATTAGTTTGTAACTTGTAAATTTGTCTAACAATAACAATACGCTACTATTGGCAATAATGTCATGATATTTTTCAATAGTAACAATGTCGAGCTTTAATTCCTATCATAATTACCAAAAGTCTTTGTTTAGAGATTGCGGATTTAGAATCAAATGGAAGTCAAAGAGAATTTTAAAATCAAACATAATGTGGATTTAAGCTTTTGTACAGTACATATGGATTTAGAATCAGATGGACTGTACAAAAGCTTATAGTATGTACAATCGAGATGCGGGTGTAAAATCAAATCATCGACACATAACACTTGTTGCTCCAAATTCATCAGCACATAGCATTGAGAGTAGCCGTCTAGTCCTCACAATGATGTTGTTTGATTTGATGGTCTTTAAATTCAAAAACATGTGCCAGTTTCCAGACCTACATGCCCTACGGTAAACAAGTTGCTTGCTGGCTATACTTGAATCAACCATGAATCCCAAATCGAGGACGCATGTAGCATGTTATGAAAACTCGACAGTCCAGTGATGCTCAAGAAAGTTGTGGTGGATCAAACATTTCTTGGGCTAATGTACAATCTAAAATAACAAATTGCAAGAAAGTGAAGGCTCGACACGTAGTATGTGAATATAATGAAACGCCTAGCAAGTGGTAATTCATTTTTTTATAACTTCGTCATATCATGCTCAAGAAAGTTGCGATGTATCAAACATTTCTTCGGCTAGTGTACAATCTAAAATAACAAATTGCAAGAAAGGGAAGATTCGTCACGTCTTACGTGGATATAATCAAACGCCTAGCAAGTGATAATTCATTTCTTTATAACTTTGTCATACGTGTGCTTCTTCTTCCTTGACGAAGAACAAGGAATTGGAGCTTGTTCATTTCAAAGATTTGCAATAGCCGAATCCAAAACTCTTTAGCATGTTCTAAATTGTGATGAGAATTATGCAAACAAATGCAAATGATGATGAGCAAAATGATCTAGAAAATTGACATAGTTTCACTTTTCATCTAACTGCACACTCGCAATTTACATAATTTAGAAGAACACCAACAGAGTTGATTATCTTGAAAGTTCACAAATTTCTATAACGAATCTAATCAAGTGTTACCACGATCCCATCCAAAGATGCACTCCCGACATATAGGTTTTCATAAAGGAAGAAAATTGATGTGATAGCATTTGTGTGTTTTGTGAAAAAACTGTTGATTTGTCCCAAACCTGAATAGTGAATTCAAAAATTTGAAATTCATTGTTTGATAAATTCAATTCAAAAATTATCACATCTTGCAAAATTCCTCTACAACATGTTCAATACTCATCTTTAAATATTTTTTCATATACAATAAAGATATGTATTAGAAGTGAATTGAAGATAAGTACAAATACCTTTAAATAAAGGTATTAAAACTTCATTAGACAAATCTCATCTTTAGTCTATTGTCATCTACACCAATGGCCAAAAGTTGTGAATCAAGAGAATGTGTGACAGATTGATATTGAAATAATGATCTAGTGTTTTCAAAATGTATGTTCTGATTTGTTATACAAATATGTATCGTTATACAAACTATATCGTTGACATGCCATATTCACACGCATATATATATATATGGGGAACAAGAACGTACACATACATAAATATATTACAATTAACAATATCCATGTAAACCTCACAATATTTAAACACAAAATCTCATATAAAAGTCAAGCCAAGTCTACTACACAACTCCTAGAATGTAGGCTGAAGCTACCAGAACATTGTAGCTGAACTACTAAAAGTTATTTTCTATTCAAAAGGTTCAACTTGAATAATCAAAATATTTTGGAATCTCCACACGCCTATCCTCTCCAACAGGAATAAATTCTAAACTAGGCTATATTTAGGATTCATTCCACTAGAGTTAACTGAATCCAATATTAATTGTACTGAACACACCAGCGGGAAATAGACTTAGTAGAATAAGTATATACTAGAAGCACCTTGGGAGATGGTATGGAAGGTTTTCATAATCATCCTCCGCTGCGACCAGTTCATGTAGTCATCTCATGAGCCGGAGACAGTGGACATGGGATGCTCATAAACTCGTAGCTTTTCTTACGTCAGGAACTTGCATGACCAAATGCTTTTCTTCCTGACCTCCGAATTCTTCTCCGTAGTTCTTGCCTGTGTGCATTCTTCACTTCTTGAATCGTCCAGTCCTTCTTCCTTTATATAGAAGATGGAAATTCTGACTGTGCTTGCGAATCCCAGGTTCGGAGTTTTGATGATGGCTTTCTGAGTCCCAGTTCGCATGATTCCGCAACAGTCCTCCTCTTATATCAACCGACCAGATTCGGGGCGTCTCCTCTCGACTGATGATTCGTGTCACAAGAGAACACACCGGTGGCGTATCTTTTGACAACAAATACTAAAGACGGTCCTGGTATACAAAAACGACAGTGATTGTAAACCAAACAAGATGGAGAAGAGATGAGTCGGTACCACTCGTCCTGGCACCCCAGGTTGGGGTGCCAACCTCTCCTCGGCTTGGATCTCAATCTAGAAGTACATAAGGGGAATGTGAATGTACTGCAATTCAATCAAGCAGGTTGGCTCCCGAGGCAAAAGTCATCCCGTAATGCATACGAGATGAGATTTGAGTAACTCTCAGATTCTATCGTCTTTTCAGGCATCATCCCTTCTATTTCGATACCATGATATGGAGAATGGCCATCTGCCGCAAGAACTGCAGATGTATGGCCGTTCGCTGCAGTAGAGTCCCCATCGATTGTACCGATCAACACTCCGCCTCTGGCCGCAGATTGCTTTCCCATTTGTTTCAGTGTTCCACTCAACTTCTTCCCATTCTGTTGGGGCCGCCGATTTTGGGAGAGTGGTCTTCAACGTATGGCATGGCAGGTACATTATGAAAAGCACATAATAATTATACAATTTTTTACTGGTTGTTGCCCAAGTCACCAACTACATCAGCGTGCGGATGACTCCTCCGTTAAAGTTTGCACTCGCATCCTCTTTATGAAGCGAAGCATCCAGGGCCAGGTACAGCCTTATGTACAACAGCTGCTGACTCTATGAAATCTAAATGAGACGATCTAACGAACTCTGAAATCTATGGAGACTAAGTCCGGACAAATACAAAATTTGAGAATCACTTCAACATACTTGAACTCGTACAAGCTGGCAAGCTTGTCTCAGGCATGGAAGAGAATAGTTTAGAGATTTGAGCTCATTTTGTAAAAACTAACCATCCAGGAAAGCTCCATTCCTCTTGTGGGATTTATATTTGAAGTCTGCTCCTCGGTACTTCGACTGGGAGCGAAAGAATCATAATGTTTCTAACTAACTGATATGATTTGCGCACAGCCGTATTCCACCTTCTCTTGGAGTGCGACGGGATTTCCAGTTGCTCAAAGGCTGAAGCTTTTCATCAAACCTGGGTTTACGAACTTGCCTGTGAATAAATTACACGCCCCTAAAAAGGGACCTTCTGACCTAAAGTCTGACGACATCGAACTTGTTTGTTACGGGGTGCATGTTTATCACGATGATTGCATCGATAAGCCCCCTTCAATTACCCTACTTGATAGCGATTATATTGTTCCGAACTTTGAAAGCATCATAGCACCTACAACTACGAGTCCGCAGGATCCAAGCAAAACAGATGCGGCTTTTCTACCGCTGACCTCTTCGTAGTAGAAGACAGCCCACATGGCGCTAACCAAAAGTTGACATTGAACAAGCGGCCACCCCAATGCCATTCCCAAATACTCAGTCGCAACGATACTGCAAGTTTGCAAAGCAAAGGAAACATTAGAGTAAGAACAAATTATTTGGATTATGCATCGACGATACCACATACTTGAATGAGGAATTGTCGATGCTCCTGACAGCCAAGGCAATTGCTTAAGTGCGGGCAACCTCAGGGAACATGCAGATCAGAGTCACCACAACTCTAACTGTCATCACGATGGACGTTATCTCGTCAAGTGAAAGTCCAAATTACATCAAAAGGTTCTGAGATTGGAAGGCTCGCCACTAAATGCATGGAGAAAGGCTTCATGACAAGAGGGTGTTCTTGAAGAGGGAAAAGTTGTGTTAGATCGTGAACAGAGTGAACCAGAACTCTTAACTATTTCTTCGAAAGATCCAGTCACCATCAAACAGGAGCACGGAAAGATCAACCAGGTCCGCCAGTAAGGGCCATAGATAGCCCTTCCGTCCGATGATCAGCTAATTTGATCGACCAGTTGTCGTGCAAGGGATGGGATGAAGTGTTTCAAACAGGTTTTGTCTATGTGCCACGGGACACAAGTTTTACACGCAAACACATGCGATCGGTCGAAATTAACTCACAAAACAGATGAGGACGGCAACAAATCTAACCTACAATCAATAGCAGATTTAGTATGACATACAATTGGTCGTTTTAAACTCAGAGCACGTAAGGACGGCAGAAAGACTCACCTACAAACATTACCAGCACTCCATAGCACGCCAGTCAAAAGACCAGGGCCGGCAACTGCTTTGAAATGAAAAGACGGAGGTGGTTTGCCCCTATAAACTTGGAGCATTGAGTAGATTGTGAGAATTGCCGATGAAATGGTTACAGCTCCAACTCCAAATGATACCAAGTATTCTACGCCATGTATCTCCTGAACAGAGAAGAAAGTAACCAATTAGCTTTGCTACACGTTCCATTGCTAAAGCTCTTCTCAGTCAGCACACAACCTGAAACGATAAGCCAATGGGCGAAACCATCTTTACGTGAACATATGGCCAAGGAACAAATGAGCACTTCCTTAGTCTACCCTAGCCTGGTGAGTTGTTCACCTTGGTGGCGTATTTAAAAGGAATGAGGAAGCTTCCATTTGAAACGCCAACGAAGATAGCACAAAGAATGCCCTGCAAAAACTTGTTATCTCTCCTGTATTTTGACCCTCCTTTTTCATCTCTGACTGGCCGCGGGAGAACCGCTTTGGCCTCACCGTCCATTTGAATAAGATCGATCTCCTCCTCTCGTTTAAATGAAAACATCTTCCTTGTCTTCCCTTTAGGCGAAAGTGCGTGTACACGCGAGGGACCGGGACTGAGACTGCCAGAAGCAGCCATTCCAATGCCCATCATCCCAACTGCCATGACACCAAGAGCCATCATGGACAGAAGGGGATGTTTGATCGGCTCGTTGAAGACGTATGCTCCCCAAATGTAAGAAACAAAAACTGTGAAAATTACCGCAACCTTCGTATGAGCATCACATGCAACGGCTGAGAATGAGCTGGCTTTCAACCAATAGCAGCAGATGAAATCTCAAATGACCGATCCAGTACTTGAAATGCCGAAGGACAAGCGTTCATACTCGGGGATATCCCCCAAGTATGTACGCTATCACAGTAAGATATATACCCTATTCCATCATCAGTCCTTGCAAATCTTTGGAAGACATTGCCCTTCTACAGGAAGGAAGCATTCATAACTCTAGTAATAAATCACCGTCTGCGCAACTTCATTACCACTATCTGTTATACTACTGCAACGGATGCACACAACATCATGCGTGATAGGGTGACGCAACTCACTGCCAATGCCGCTCCACAGAGACTGCGCCACCCCAATTCCGGCCAAGCGAACAGCCATAATTGCTACAATGCCTGTCGTACACCACATGGAAGCCCCCACCATACCCCACCATGTGAACCTCAGGGGCTGCAAATCCACCAACAGCACGTGATATTTAGGCGCATGAACTGAAAATCAGAACCTCATTTACGTAGAAAAGCAGTATTTCTCGTAATTTCCCAATTAGATATTAGTGCAGAAGTAACTCATTCTCCATGGATTTTCCTACTTATGGCCATCCGGAAAAGACAAGCTCACTGATTGTGATCGGATTCTCTCGATGAACCTTGAGACCCTGAAGGTTCGTCGAGACTGGGGGCACATGACTGAGGAACTCGTACAAACAAGCATTTCGTTTTCAAAATGCGTCAGAAAGTGAAGAGAGAGGTCATGATTCAGTCCAACGTCCTACATTCAAATGTAAATAATCCCAACTGAATGGATCGGGAGCAGGAACATGTGGGAGAATATCACACTGTCATTACATAGAAAATTGAAAAGAACAGATAAGGTAGCAACGTGAAGCACACACTTAGAAGTTTTGCTTACCACATAAATCAGCACCAGCCAAGAAGTTGCGAAGCATGCGAATGACTTGTAAGTTTGGTACACTATTGGATCGACTTGCGCTGCCACTACTACTGGAAATTTGAGCGGTACCGCTGGATGAAAAAGAGACAACAAAACAATGTCAGCGAACATCAAGAAGACATGTGAAGACATGACCCTTTCACCTGGTAAAACAGCCATGACCCTTTCAGAAGTGTGGGCGATTTAATGAGGTACAAGTTACATGCTGTTTCTGTTCAGTACCTCCAGACGAGCTACTTGGACTCACTCAGTAAGTTCCGAAAGGCAGGGAAGTACTGTGTAGATTCACAAGTTCATATCATACTACACTATCGCTTTGTCGAACGAGAAGACGGATAGAATCCATCTTGGCTCGACTGCACACAAAGGATGTACTTGACAAAAATGGATGACTTTTCGCCACAGGGTATAAGCCCACGTACAGAACGAGCCGGGCCACCTAACCTTGTTCGACCTCTCCTCTACAGGCTGGTGCTGAGCTCTCCAGAAATTGGAAGTTCTACGGCTCTTAAATCCTAGCAATTTTCAACCCTTCTCGTCGTGTTGATGATCAGCATCAAAACAATTCAAAATTCTTCAGCGGATCTCAAACTCTGGAGAAAGTGAGCCCCAGATGGCGAGCCAGAATTCAGTATGAAATTCCAAGGCAACTTAAGCAGAGAGAGAAACAGAGCACCAACCGTAGGACCCGAAAAAAACCATCGCTGCTACTGCAGCGATAAGTCCTGATGGATCGGCCATTTCGTTCGCAAGCTCTCCTCTCTGTGACGTGCCAAGCACAGGAAATGTCTGGACAAAAAATCAATTAAAAGTGGCCGACTCGCCTCAGCCACAGCGCGGATGGATCAGCCCACAAATCCGGCAACTAACGCCAACCCGTGGGAAGGATCATGCCCAACGCCTGCGCGGACGTCGGATTGGTTCACCGTGAGCACCTCGTGGGCTCCAACTCCAACTCCAACTCCATCACCCACAAAGCTCGAACGAAATTCATAATCGGCGCAATTATCTCTCCGCAGGCCTTTCCCGAAATCGGATCAAACGAGCGAGACGAGCAGAAGAGTTTCGGAATCGCTCCGCTGCGCTCGCGGCCGATCCTCGCCACCTCCAATCACATTCACGGCGCGGCGCCACGAGGACGGGCTCCCGGAATTTTTCGAATCCTGGTCGAGCTCGCTCGCGATCGTTTCTTGGGCGGACTGGTAGCCCCGTTCCATGACCGACGACCGGCTAGCGGCCATTCATCGTCGTCGCCGTGCGCCCTCCGACGCCATTCCGTTTTGTCTTATCTCGTCTCGTCCATAACGTTTCTCCATTGCTCCGCCCGCTCTCACGGCGCCTCCTCCCGTCCGACCGTCCATCCGACCGACCGACCGACCGACCGACCGACTGAGCACGTACCGCTGAAGATGGATCGAAGCCCGTCCCCCAACCACGGCCCTCCGTTTCCCAAAAGCCAAGGTCGCTACGGGACAGACCACCGCAGTCGCGACCGTCATGGTTGACCGCCTACGCGATCGACCCGTCCCCCGGGGAGCGGCCCGAACCTCGCGACCGAGCACATCCACTCCTCCGTGACTGCCCTCGGCTGACTGCGGGGAGGAGGGCAGTGCCGACGCGACGATGACAGCTGGCGTGCCTCTATTGGCGGGGACCCGGATCTGGCTCGTCCGGGCGCATTGATGGCACTGCGGATTTCTTTCTTTCTTGGTCGCTCGGGGCTCGGCCGGCGCGGCAGTCGCTGCTGGACTCGAGTTGCCCGCAGCGGGCAAGAACATTCGCCTGTCCGGCGCCCATGAGCTTCTCGGCCGCTGCGTGAATCGCGATCGCCGGCCGGTGCCGGTGCCCCAGCCGGCGCCGGGACAGTCGCCCCGTCCGGACAGGGGCTCGAGTTCTGTCTCTCTTTGGCGCCGCCCTGGAGGCCATCGGCGAGGAGTCCGACAATTCGGTGGACGTGCCCGCATGCAACAATCTGATGCGCAGGCGCCAAATCGAGATTTCGCACGCTCGCACTCGGCCACGATTTCGATCGATCGGCCCTTCCCTTCCCTTCCCTTTCTTCATCGATGACGTCCGTCGTTTGTTCGTCGTAGTGTTCGTTCATCGATGCTCCGAACGCTCGTCGGGCTCTCGAATGCATCGCATGGGTCGGGACCGGTTTTCGAGACTTCCAACGAAGGTGGAAGAAAGTGGCGGTGGCGCGAGACGACGAGGAGGTGAAACCTTTCCTGAAGATAGAGTCTCCTGCACAACCTCTCCCAATTAAGCATTTGGTTAAGATAACTGGTATAATATGAATTTATTGAAAGATTGTGGACGCAGTAGGAGTTAGATCTACAAGAAGTATGCATCAATTTTTTTTTCATCAATATCGTGCACAAATGATATATTCAATCGCTTTATACTTGGAGTACTTCGGTTGTTGACCGTAATAAGTCTGTAACGCTTGGGACACGAGGTCTCCACTTCGTTGGTGAAATTCCGAGTTTATTTCTTATGAGATATTCTGACACATTATCGCCTCGGGAAATGGAGGGGTAAAGGTAAAGTACTTGTGCACAAATCCTTTGGCATACCAGGAGAGCACGGAACCGGAGAACTCAACGGGAAGAGGACAGAACGTGGATGAAAACTGTCTGTCCATCTCATCGATTCATCATCGTGTCATACATGCTCTGCTCTGATGTCTTCAAGACCTGTCATATATTGCCTCTAAATTACCCATATCGTGGTCGTTGCTTCATCACGTTTCTTCAAGCAGTGAACTTGTTATCCTCCTGAATAGAAATGGGTATTTTACACTTCATTCCCACGGTAACCTTAATGAAAGTTCATTGATTGTCATTCCATAATATCTCAAGTGAGAGGGAGGGTCCTTCCTCCTCGGCACACACACTTCCCCGAATCTGTTTACAGTAAAGTTGTAGCATTATGAGGTACCATACATGCTCTTGGAATTTCTTTATTCTCGTGCAGTAAGTGATAACAAGAGGTTTCATATCCACCTTTAAGACTGTCGGAATAAAATAGTATTCAACGTATCAGGTCTTGGATTGAATGCGAGAGATGCATATATCCTGCCACTACAAATGAAATGTTTGATAGATTCATACAGGTGAAAGTCAAAGATTCGCATGTTAATCTATATAGGGTAGACTAGGAAGCCCTTATGACAGTAATGCTATGATCGTACTCCTTCAGTCCCTGGGATTAAACTCACATAAGCCTAGACTTGGCAGAAGAAGAATCCGCGAGAAGATATGTCCTCTTCATTTCTTCGTACAGTACAGGGAGAGCTTCAAAGCTGGACGGACGATGAAGGGGGTTCACGATACAAAGGTTGGGTGGATTCTTGCAGAGATCAATCGTCTGTCTTGAGCTTGGAGTCTCGGACAGGAGCATGGTTGTGTTGTGGTTGCATGCAAGTTCACCACCGACAACACTAGCACAAGAAGCTGACAGAATGGCAGGTTGAGATTCTGGACGAGTCTGAGTAAGTAGACTCTAGAACTCGAGTAGGCTCGCGACAACGGTAGGACTCATGCTCTAGCGTAAGGGCTTAGGAGCAGTGGAGCATGTGATTGATTCCAAATGGCTGACTCTTTTATAAAAGAGTAGAGTGCCTTCTTGGGCACGGACTGCTGCTTGCGTGATGATTTCAAACATTAGCTAACTAACTGATACTTGGACAAAATTAGTTCTTCTCCTCTGATGAGAATCCTTTAATACAGCTGACTTTTACAATGATCCAACAAGATTGCACAATGATATACTAACCAAGTAAAGATACATTTTATATATATATATATATATATATAGAGTCCTCGAATGTCCGAATAGAGTAAATAGATGCCCGAAGGAATTTTAGGTTCTCCTTGAAGAAAGGACGGGAATCGAAATGTGCAACCTGCCATGTGACGTTACATGTCTCCCAAATTTCGGTGCACGTAATCTTCTGCAAAATCAACTCACTAGAGTAATTGTCGAGAACATTTGTAGGAAATAATTGATCGTCAAGTGACTTTCACAGAAACTAGCATTATTGACAGCCCATTCTACTGTTTTTGTTGGCTTAACACGTTTCACAAAGTTTCACGCCTTTTCACAACAAATAACATTCAAAATATTCAGTTATCAACGGTGTTATGACGCATGAGACCATACATGAATGAGAAGTATATAATCGTACTTGCATGGTAGGCTAGCTATCTACAGGCCTCTCTGTATAGGGCGGATTCCGTTTATTCCGTATCTCAACAAAATAAGTATAATTTTCAAATCAAAATATGTAATATATTGAACTTGACCTAAACTGTAGAATTTGTCGACCATGTAATACACCTTTGAAAGAAATGTGTGTTAATTTTGATCTCTGAATATCATTTTCCTATTTTAGCATGGAGAAATCACTCTCCACATCCTTGAAGTGTTCGAAAATGGTCAAACTAATCTTGCTAAAAACTCCATGAGTTGAAGAAATTTATTTTTGAAACTTGGAATCAGACTTTTGTGAACCAAGAACATCGATTTTGTAATGTTCTGGGTTCACTATTTTATCTATGTGCTTTTGTTTCCAAAAGAATGTGAGACTATCTTGATATTTCAGAATTAGCTGATTAATTTTTTGTGTTTTCAAAGCTACACTTTACTGAAGTAACAATGAAATAAATTACTAGAACTTGCTTGGTTGTACTCATCAGTTGTCGCCGCAAAGTTTTAGTCGAGTACTCAACTAGTTTCTCTAGTAAAGTCACCGAGATGAACAAAGAAATTGTCACAAGCAATCACGACAAAGATTTAGCTCAATATTTACTTCATATTCTCTAGTAAAATGATCTAGATCAACAAAGATATTGTAAAAAACGTTCACCCCTAAGTTTTATTTGAGTGATTCTGATAGTGTCTCTAGTAAGGACACATAGACAACAAATATTTTTTTGTTGGAAATACGGAATTTTCTGAAAACAAAATAGGGCACTTTTGTACTCAAGTTTCATATTTAAAGAGACCTGGCTACCTGTATATCCCATATATCCATCAAATAAATACACTTCTAATATATCATAATTGAAGTCATTATCACTACTGTGACTCTCATCCAATTTCATAGAGACCACTCCTTACAATGTCTAAACTTGCCCATCTCTTATGAAAATTTAATCTCATAAATGTACATCAACAATCTCCAATCCAAATAAACCTTTGTTGCATAATGATTCTTTGCATGAGAGGATTCGTCGTGGCAGAGCTTTTTTTGCAAATAAACATGTTGCATTTGTTTATGAAAGTGCAAATATACTCTAAATATTAGAAGATATAGAGGAATATGAATGAATTTAGTAGGCAAATATTAGTTGTTTCTTTTTCAAAAAGCTAGAATGATGGTGAATGATTTTTAAACGTTGCAGAATCTCAATTCACATAGTCATGAGTTTGGAAGTAGTCGAGTCTTGAGATAATTTGTCTGGATTAAGGCTGGATTATCACACTCTAGGTCAACTTTGGTCCAACTCATTCTGAGATTGGCCACAATCAAAATTGAAGAGGGGACCTAGCGTTCCCATCTACCTTCTCATAACACTAAGATAGCAGTACCAATTTGTAAATAGAGCACCACTAGCAAATGTATCAAACACATGCTACCGTGATACAAGAACAAATCTGCTGTTAGTCAATTAAGCATCATACTTTTTGCCAAAGAGGATTGCAAGGAAAGGGATGATATTGAATGTCTTGATAAAGAACAACATGATAAATGCCGAAAAGATCATGGATATACTTGTATTAGTGGATGGATATGGAAGGGCAATCCTTCCCATCATTTGTTGATCATACAAATCAATCACGAACTCACCTCATGGAAAGAGTAAGTCAATCTTCAAAGTGAGTGCTTCATCAAATCCACCGAGGTAGATTTAGAACATATCGAGATTGCCACTTTGCAACAACACAATTTTGGGGAGTAGAGATACTTTTAAACCCTGAAGTATTTCAATGATAACAAAGAATTTTGAACAAATTTGTCAATAGAAAATGAGAAAGGAGAAAGCTCTCCTTCATAACAAGATAAAATAGGTAGCCCCAAAACAACATAACATGATATAGAAATATGTAAGACAAAAAATACTAGAATTGTGAAAAAAATCAAACAAGTGGTGAAAAACCATGCTAATTTAATATTGTTCATAAAATACAAGATTATTCTACAAGTGATGATGACAAGAAGAAGTCAACATTTTCTTGTATAACATAGACTAACTTAGGAGCATACATAACTAATCAATAGAAAATCTATCCATATAGATATATTTTTTATCAAACATATCTAAATCATAGAAAAGTGGTAGCAAAGATCTATCACCTT